GAGAAAGGAGGGGGAGGTGGTAAGAGGTAAGGAAGAAATCTAAAGAAGCAGAAAAAAGCAACACCAGCAGCCAACAAAAGGCACTCAGGGAGCCGGCCAGTGCAGGTGGGTGGAATCCAAGCGACACCGGGGTGAAGCTGGTGCTTCGCGGCCAAGAGACTGGCTGCAGGAAGCAGAGGAGGCTATGTGGGGGTGAAGAAGGGTGGAGAGTGGGAAAGCTTGTATCGCTGGTAACTGGTTGTTTTGTCTCCTGCTGGAAGCTCCATGAAGCTGCTTTCTCATACCCCCTGTTAGCTGCTCGCTGATAGGAGTCCAAGATGGCGGATCCACGCTGCGGTAGCTGATAGGGGACCTCTGCATGTATCTCTCCTTGCTCTCTGTTCTCCGTCAGTTTATTCCATTTGGTGCTTGGCTTAGTTTTTAATCTTTTCATTTGATGCTTAGTGTTTCAGGATTGACGTGTGACTCTGTTTGACTTAGTGTTTCTGATCTTTGCTGTGGAGGGATGGCGTGGTGCTTCTGACTATAGCGTCTTGTTGCTTGGAAGTCTAACAGTAATTTCTTAATATCACATAATACACAGTCCATGTTCAATTTTCTGTGATTGTCCCCAAAATGCCTTTTTACAGTTGGCTTGTCCAAAATCAGGATTCAGACAAGGCCTGCGTGTGGCATGTGCTTCATATGCTGAAGAAACTAGGCCATTTGTCTTGTGCGTCTGCCTCATTTTACTGCTGTGAGGTCATTGAATAAATTCCTCCATTCCCCTTATCTTCTGTAACTTGGGTGGGGGGTGGGGCACTGATTAGATTCAGGTTTGATATTTTGGCAGGAGAGCGTCATAGGTAGTACTGGGTCCTTTGTACTGCCTTACATCAGAAGGCACATGGTGTCTGGTTGTCCTGTTTTTAGATCATAAGATGCGTTAGCAGTTGCAGGTCTTGTCAGCCTGATTCTTCCGTTATAAAGTTCCCTGTCTGCCTTTCACCTGTGGTTTAGCAGCCATTGACTGCCAATGCCTGTTAGAGTGTGAGGGGTTGCAGAATTACTCTCTAATGATTTCATTTCTTCTGCATCTATTAGAGAGGAGCCTTGGTGGCACAGTGGTTAAAGCACTTGGCTGCTAACGGAAAGGTCAGCAGTTCAACCCATCAGCTGCTGCATGGGAGAAAAATGTGGCAGTCTGCTTCTGTAGAGATTTACAGCCCTACAAATCCTATGGGGGAGTTCTGCTCTGTTATGTAGGGTTGCTATGACTCCAAATCAACTTCATGGCAGTGGGTTTTTGGTTTTTTTGCCATCTATTAGATGTGATTCTTCTATCTATTCCCTTTTAAATGTGTATATGGATATTCTACGAGTCCTTGGGTAGAGCAAACAGTTAAGCACTTGACTACTAGCTGAGAGGTTAGTGGTTCAAACCCACCCAGAGGCACCTTGGAAGACAGGCCTGGCGATCTGCTTCCAAAACATCACAGCCATGAAAACCCTATGGAGCAGTTTTAGTTTGTCATATGGGGTTGCCATGAGTTGGAGTCGACTTGGTGGCACCAAACAACAACATGGTTATTCCACTGATGTCTTAGGAACAGTGGGAGATGAATTTGTGGCCCAGTTCACCAGCTTGACAGAAAAGCCAGGGTGTGGGTTTGGGCCTTGTTAGTGTTAGGTGAACTTTGAAGCCACTCCCTGGGGTAAGGTTAAGTAGCATGAGAGGAACACAGGGCCAGAAGCACTCTGGCAAGTAAACACAGTCTCCCAGCTGGTTCCATGGGTGTAATATTTAAATGCTTCAAGTTGTGTGCAGACTTAGGCTTTGTGTTCTTGTCTACCCTTAGGTTACACTGAAATTAAAAGTTTATATTACCAAAATGTGTAGTAGCAACAGCCATGAAGAAGTTTGAGGTGAGGGCAGTTCTGTAAGAGGTGAACCAAGACATTGGCAGCGATGATTCCAAGGCTGGGTAGGGTTTCACAGAGGGGAGGTGTGGTCAGCAGTTTTAAATGCTGCAGAAGGTCAAAGAAGGGGAAGACGGATATTGACCTCGGGCTTAGCAAACACCAGGCACCAGCAATCTTGGTGAGAACCTGGAGAATATGAGAATCATAATTAATGCATGCTCATTGTCCCAAAATGCTTCAGTATATATAGATCATCAAAAAATGATGAATATAATTACTCGAATATTGAGAAACAGAAATACAGGGGTAATGAGGGTGGAGAAGTCACTGCAGCTGGGTGAAGGCTGGAAGACGAGGAAAGAGAGAGAGTGTGGGTGGACTCTACCTCAAAGGAGCTTGACTGTTAGGAGCATCTGGACCCCTGACGTGGGTACAGGAGAAACGGGGACGTTTATATAGGCTGTTGAGAAAGAGAGGGTGGGAAGATACAGGAGAGAGATGACTTCTGATCACACGTGCTCTCTGAGGAGGTGGGATATAGAGACGGGAGGTTTAACCTTGGACGAGAGGATGGCTCGTCTTCCCCTGGGCTCCAGTAGGCTTAGCTTGTCAGTTATCAGCAGAGTTGATTCTTGGGTAAGGGAATCAGTGGAGCTGAATCAGTTCTACCTTTTATTCCGATCTTCCTGTAAAGGTGGGAGGGGAGCAGTTTGGACTGATGGAGTAAAACCTGATACATCGAAGACCCAGCTATTGTTGTGTGCCACTGAGTCAATTCCGACTCATAGCGACCGCATGTGACAGAGTAGAACTGCCCCATAGGGTTTCCAAGGCTGCAATCTTTATGGAAGCAGATCGCCAGGTCTTTTCTTCTGCAGAGCTGATGGGTGGGTTCGAACTGCCAACCTTTAGATTAGCAGCCAAGCACAAACCATTTGTACCACTCCATGGACTTTGGCACAAGGCAGACCCTCAGTATTTGTTGAGTAAATGAATGACATAGTTACTAGTGCAAACACAGATAACACTCATGTCACAGGCTCTTTCAGGATATTGGTTATTTTCACCAGAGGATGCAAAGCCTTACCCATATGACTTTTATTCTGCAGAGAGTCTGTCCGAGGATGCATTTTAATTACATAAGAGACAAATTGTTGGGTGCCATTGAGTCAATTCCAACTGATGGCAACCCCATATGACAGAGTAGAACTGCTCCATAGGGTTTTCTAGGCTGTAATCTTTACAGGAGCAAATTTCCAGTTCTTTCTCCCGCAGAGTTGCTGAGTGAGTTCAAATCACCAACCTTTTGGTTAGCAGCTGAGCACTTAACCATTGCAGTACCAGGGCTCCTTGAAGACCCAGCAGTATGGGCTTTGTGTTGACCTAGATGAGATGATGAGCTCAGTTTATAAACCAGGACCAGCAGGGACAGAAAAGGAGCCCGCCCATGGGAGAGCCCTTGTGTGGGTAGAAGTGACGAGACAGGCTGGGAGGGGAGGGCAAAAGGGCCCTCTCAGCAGAGCAGTGGAAAGCATGCACTTAATAGGCGCAATATTCAGGGTATTGATTCTGCACTGACACTGAGGTAAACCAGAAAGCAGTTTCTAGACTGAGGGGAGGACTGGGGTGTGGCACAAGGCTACATGCACTTAAAAGTGAGCTGCAGGGTTTATGTCATGCCACACAGCTCACCCCCACCATGAGGAAAAGCACCTGCCCCTCCCCATCCTGTAATGCCTAGGTAGTTGAGGCTCATACTGATTGCTTAGTAGGATAGTGAGGGGCACCCTGAAAACCCCATTGCTGTCGAGTCGATTCCGACTCATAGCAACCCTGTAGAAAAGAGTAGAACTGCCTCATAAGGTTTCCAAGGAGTGGCTGGGGAGTTCAAACTGCTGACCTTTTGGTTAGCAGCTGAGTTGTTAACCACTGCGCCACCAGGGCTCCGGTGAGTTGCACATTCATTGCAAAAATGAAACTTACACTATAATCCATCTTCCCTTCTAGTACCCTAGTAGAATATTCCTGGTTCTTCCTAACAACTTTGGTTTGGGCTGTTTGAACTCAAGTGCTTCTGAGAGCAACTGTAACTGATTCTCCCGGACCCGAGCTGCTCTTGTGCTGTCTCATCTTGCCTTTAGCTCCAGCTCTTGGAATGGAATCTTTCCATCTCTGGCTAGGAAGACAGCCCATCAGTATTCAAGTCATCCTTCCAGGCTCTAGATCCACATGTTGAAGAGCAAAGACTCCGGCACCAGGGCCTCTAGCCAGCCTCAGGGCTGTACAACTGCTTTCACCAAGGTCCAAGACTTTGTTGTTGTTGTTGCCATGCAGTCAATTCCAATTCATGGCAGCTCCATGTGTTGCAGAGTACAACAGCTCCATAGGGTTTTCAAGGCTGTGACCTTTCAGAAGCAGATCACCGTGCCCTCTGAGGTGCCTCTGGGTGGATTTGAACCACCATCCTTTCGGTTAGTAGTCGAGTACTTAACTCTTTGCACCACCCAGGGACTTGTATGCTTTACCAATTGTCTGGGTATCCAGCAGAGGAAGGGTTATTTCTCCAGTGGGAGTTCTGTCCATACTAGGTATTATATGAGTTGGGCAAGAGTCTTTGGAGAGACCTGCTCATCTTCACAGTGGTTGTTGTAGGTACCTGATTCCCTAAGGGAGCCTTGGTGGTGCAGTGGCTAAGTGCTCAGCTGCTAACAGAAAGGTCGGTGGTTTGAACCCACCAGCCACTCCATGGGAGAAAGATCTGGCAGTTTGTTCCCATAAAGATTATAGCCTTGGAAACCCTATGGGGTAGTTTTACTCTGTCCTATAGGGTTGCTATGAGTTGGAATCGACTCAACAGCAGTGAGAATGGGTTAATTCCCTAAGCGTGCATACCAAACAGGAGGTCCTGGGTGGCTCCTAATGAAACCTGACCTGTGTCGGTGAGAATCTTGAGCATAGCCAGGGTAGTTACTCTATAGCCAGTGTCCTTTCTCTTTCCTGTGTGCCTCACTCCACCCCTAGTAAACACTGGAGGGGGTGGCCCCAGGTTGAGGAGGAACATTGTGTCCTTTTAGGAACCAGTGACCTTCAAGGATGTGGCTGTGGACTTCTCCCAAGAGGAGTGGGGGAAGCTGGACCCTGTTCAGAGGACCCTGTACCGTGATGTGATGCTGGAGACCTTCGGGCACCTCCTGTCTCTGGGTAAGTCAGGTGTTGCCCACGTAAAGGAGGCTGTTCCCATTGCAATGCTTTCAGCTCCTCCATGGTTAAAAGCCTATGGGGAACTCTGGAGGGCTGAAGTGGTCTTGGGCACTGGGGTTTGGGCGTGAAATTTCTAATGTTTATGAAGCCTGATATGGGAGGGACTGTGCTGCTTCTGTCCAAGTGAAAAGTCACAGTGGAAGAGTAGGTAAAGGAAGCTTTCTTCCGCTGCCTTGAGGCAATGTTACACAAGTCCCGTGTTTTTCCTGCATGTGTAGGGAATGAGATCACCAAGCCCAAGGTCATTTCCCTGTTGGAGCAAGGAGAAGAACCATGGACTGTGGAGAGAGGATACCCTCAAAGCACTTGTTCAGGTGAGAGCAGGCCATGGCCCCAAGTGTGGGCAAGGAACTTTCCTCTAAGCCCTCATTTGAGAAACAGGACAAGGGTGTGAGGAGTTATCTTCCTCAGATACATTCAAAATTCCCTCTGCATCTCTCTCCCTTCCTGTATTGACTTCTTGTTGATTCAGAGGAAAGACACCCCACCTTATTGGTAAGGTAGCTTTCCCCTAGGCTGTAGTTCTTCCCCTTACCGTCTGCTTCCCGATGCCTCTCATATTCTCTGCTGTCCCTTTCTCTGAGATGGCTCTCTTAGTCTCCTAGTGCTGCTGTAACAGAAATACAGCAGTGGGTGGCCTTAAAGGGCAGAAATTTATTTTCTCACAGTTCAGGAGGCTGGAAGTCTGAATTCAGGACACCAGCTATAGGGAAACACTGTCACTCTTTTGGCTGTGGGGCAAGATCCTTGTCTTTCCCAGCTTCTGTAGCCCCGGAATTTCTCAGTTCCTTGGTGAGTTTCATGTGTTACCTGTCTTCTCCCATTTGTGTATGCCCCCAAAGATGTCTGCATTCTAATCCCCAGAATCTGTGAATATGGTACCTTCTTGGGAAAGGGGACTTTTAAAAAGTGATTAAGGATCTTGAGATGGGGAGAGTATCCGGGATTATCCAGGTGGGCCCAGTGTCATCACAGTGGTTCCTATAAAGAGAGAGGAGGGTTAGACATACAGAGAGAAGATGTGACAACAGAAACAGAAGAGAAGTGATGCTGTTTGAAGATAAAGGAAGGGGCCACAAGCCAAGGGATGCAGGTGGCCGCGAGAAGCTGAAAAAGGCAAGGAAATAGATTCTCCCCTGGAGCTTCCAAAGGGGTTGTGGCCATGCTGATGGCCCTTCGCTTAGCCCAGTAAAGGCAGTTTTGAACTTCTGACTTCAGAACCGGAAGATAATAAATTTGTATTGTTTTATGCCACAAAGTTGGTGGTAATTTGTTACAACAATAGGAAACGAATACAGACTCCTTCAGTTGTTGAAGGACTGATACTTCAACAGCGATGATGGTAGCTCCCAGATATTGAAAGTCTGCCATTTGACAGACATTTCACTGGATTCATAATTTCATTTAATCATCAGAAAAGTACTGTAAGGATAGTGACTGAGCCGTTATTTAAATACTGATTACTAGACTGCCACTCCTGTGTCTGTTTCATCACAGTATGCTCTGTTTCAAGTCTATTTCTTGTGTCATTGTCCTAAGATTTTTTTTTTTTTTGGTAATGATTAGAAGAACTGTAACTTTAGGGGGGTCTTTAAAATATATTTGTCCTTTGGGTTGATGAATTTTCCATCATTGATTAGATTCTATGGAATCATGTACTTTCATAGATAACACCTTGGTTTGAAGCCTGGCTTGGTATACTTTCTCTTTACACCACCCCTTCCTTTTTTTGGTAGGTGAATGTGGTGTCAAGATATGGGAACAGTAAGAATATTATTACGTAGAAGTGAATTAAGATCTTATTTAATAATTTAAACACTGGTTGCCAAAGGCCTGTGTGTTCACCTACGTTTTGTTAAACCAGTTGTTTTTTTTTTAACCTTGTTGTTGTTGTTAGTTGCCATCAAGTCAGTTCCAACTCATGGCAACTTGAAGTTTGCAGAGTAGAACTGTGCTCCATAGGGTTTTTAAGGCTGTATCCTTTCAGAAGCAGAGTGCCAGGCCTGTCTTCTGAGGTGCCTCTGGGTAGGTTTGAACCACTAACCTTCTGTCTAGTAGCCAAGTGCTTAACCATTTTTACCACCCAGCGGCCTTTTTTACCTTAATGACATTCAGTGTTATCTTTGTATCGGGAGTCCCCAAGACCACCCCCAGGTTTGGTGATTTCCTAGAAGAACTCACAAGACTTAAAAGTTGCTATAGCCACAGTTACAGTTTATTACAATGAAAGTATACAAGTAACATTAACAAAGGGAAAAAGCACATGGGTCTAGTTTCAGAGGAAACCAGGTGCGTGTTTCCAAGAGTTCTCTCCCAGTGGCGTCACATAGGGCACACTTAATTCCTCTAGCAACGAGTTGTGACAATAGATGTGTAGTGTCGTCTACCAGGGAAGCTCACCTGAGCCTAGGAGTCAGTCAGGAAGGCACACGTGCCTGTGTGACTGACTTTAGTCACCTTAGCTCCAGACTATCAGAAGTAAGTCAGGTGTTCACCATAAATGACATTGTTTATGTAAACTATCAAAAGAAATTAGTACAGTGTGCTTCAAATCCTTGAGCATGCAAAACACTTTTATCTGTTAGAACATTCCAAGACTTCAGTTCCCAGGAGCTTACCAAGTGCAAGTCCTGAAATAGGTCTGCTTGGGAATATGCAGTGTTTGAGCAGCTCAGGCAAGCTGAGTTATCTCCTGAACACCCTTATTCTGGCTTCCTTTTCATGGGATATACTCCTAAATGGGTTTTATTAGTTTTCATTACACACTTTCTATCCTGGTTAGATACTTTTATTCCCTATTCACCACTCTCCTCTTCCCTTTTATGATCTTTCCCTGGGTTACAAGTTTGTATTTGAAAACAAATTAATACTTGCCCCTTTGTTATTATGGACAGTAAATCTCACCATTCCTACTCTTTTCTTAGAATTTATTTCTCTATGTTCTCATGGATTTTTTAAAAGCTATTATTCTTGTTTATTTCAGAATGGATAAGAAGTATTGAAAGGAAAGCTTTGATCCCAACACAGAGTGTTTTTGAGGAAGAACAGACCCATGGCATGAATTTGGAAAGATACATTTGGGATGATCCTTGGTTCCCCAGGGTCGATGTCTTGGGGTGTGAAGATCAATTAAAAATGTACCACATGAATCAGAGTAGAGCTGTGAGGCAAATGGTCTTCATGCAAAAGCAAGTACTGTCACAAAGAGGCTCTGAATTCTATGAACTTGAGTCAGACTGTAGCCAGAACTTAAACATTGTTCCATCTCAGAGAGTTTCACAAATAGAACATATCTATAAACCTGATACACTTGCTGAAAGTTGGAGATATAATTCAGCCATAATGTATGCAGATAAAATTACCTGTGAAAATAATGATTTTGGGAAAGCCTTCTACCAATCCATTCAACCTATTCATCCTGCAAGAATGCAAACTGGAGATAATCTTTTCAAATGTACTGATGCTGTTAAATCTTACAATCAAATAATACATTTTGGTGATCATAAGAGAATTCATACAGGAGAGAAACTCTATGAATATAAGGAATGTCATCAAATCTTTAATCAGAGCCCATCATTTAATGAACATCCAAGATTCCATATTGGAGAAAACCAGTATGACTATAAAGAGTATGAGAATATCTTTTACTTCTCATCCATTATGGAACATCAAAAAATTGATACAGTAGAGAAAGCATATAAATACAATGAATGGGAGAAAGTCTTTGGGTATGACTCATTCCTTACTCAACATACAAGTACTTACACTGCAGAGAAACCATATGAATATAATGAATGTGGGACATCTTTCATCTGGAGCTCTTATCTTATCCAACATAAGAAAACTTGTACTGGAGAGAAACCCTATGAATGTGATAAATGTGGAAAAGTGTTTAGGAATCGTTCAGCCCTTACTAAACATGAACGAACTCACACTGGAATAAAACCGTATGAATGTAATAAATGCGGAAAAGCCTTTACCTGGAATTCTCATCTTATTGTACATAAGAGAATTCATACGGGAGAGAAACCTTATGTTTGTAATGAATGTGGGAAATCTTTCAACTGGAACTCTCATCTTATTGGACATCAGAGAACTCATACTGGAGAAAAGCCTTTTGAATGTACTGAATGTGGGAAGTCTTTCAGCTGGAGCTCCCATCTTATTGCCCATATGAGAATGCATACTGGAGAGAAGCCCTTTAAATGTGATGAATGTGAAAAAGCTTTTAGAGATTACTCTGCCCTTAGTAAACATGAAAGAACTCATTCTGGAGCAAAACCATATAAATGTACCGAATGTGGGAAATCCTTCAGCTGGAGCTCACATCTTATTGCCCATCAGAGAACTCATACAGGGGAGAAACCCTATAACTGCCAGCAATGTGGCAAAGCATTCAGAGAACGCTCAGCCCTCACAAAACATGAGATCATTCATTCTGGAATTAAGCCCTATGAATGTAATAAATGTGGAAAATGCTGCAGCCAGATGGCTCACCTTGTTAGGCATCAAAGGACACATACTGGAGAGAAGCCCTATGAGTGCAATAAATGTGGAAAATCCTTCAGTCAGAGCTGTCACCTTGTTGCTCATCGGAGAATTCACACTGGCGAGAAACCCTATAAATGTAATCAATGCGAAAGATCCTTTAACTGTAGCTCTCATCTTATTGCACACCGGAGAACTCATACTGGCGAAAAACCATACAGGTGTAACGAATGTGGGAAAGCATTCAATGAGAGTTCTTCACTTATTGTGCATCTGAGAAACCATACTGGAGAAAAACCATACAAATGTAATCATTGTGAGAAAGCTTTCTGTAAGAATTCTTCCCTTATTATCCATCAGAGAATGCATAGTGGAGAGAAACGCTTTATATGCAATGAATGTGGAAAAGCCTTTAATGGTCACTCAGCCCTAATTCAACACCAGAGAAATCATAATGAAGAGAAAGTCTGTGAATTGAATTGATGGGAGATTTTTCTTTTATTCTACCTTTGATAACATATTGGGGGGAAAAAACCTATAAATATAGTCAAGAGGGGAATTTTTTTCAATAAGAATTTATTAAGAGTTCTCCCTTTATTAGTCACCAGGAAATAGCTTCATAGAAGAAACTCTGTGAATGAAAAGAATACGGGAAAGCTTTCAGCAGTTTTCATCTCTTATTAAACAAATAAAGAAAACTCCCTTTATTTTCCACCAGGAGTCCATACTTGAGGAATATGACAGTAGGAAATGAGGCACTTTGAGAAAGAGCTCTCAGCTATTTCTGGATCAATGTGCATTGTTAAGGCAAAAATCTTAGGAAAAGTGTTTCAACTGGGGATACACTGTTTTGCATCAAACTGGAGGACTGGATGGAAAGCTTTGCAATAACAACTTGTGCATAATTATAGAAATACAGATTTTGCTATTATAACAGGATGGTGTTGGTTCCCTTTAAGGTATAGAATATGGAGTACTAAATTTGAGTTTATGAAAAAAAGTTGAAGTATTTACTGTTGATCAAGATTAATCTTGGAAAAGATTAGTAAGTGGGATTACTAATGGTGGAAAGGTTATTGCCTAGAAGTGTAGAAGACTATTGTTGGAACAAAAAGTGATACTTAACCTGGAGTATTAGTGTCCATTGTTTGTTCATACCTATCTTGTTGGGTGATTAGTTTGTAATTTGTTTTAGACAGTCACTATAAATTACAATTATGACCACTACTTCACATGAAGAAATGAAAAAGACATAACTGTATATACATATCTACTATAACAAATCTAAAAAGTGTGCATGAGTAAGGACTGGAAAGGCCCATGGAGAAATTAACCAAGTTAAGTTTTTGTTTGAGTTGTACAAACATATATAACACTTAACATGTGCCAGGCATTGTTTTAAATGCTTCACAAATATTAACTCATTCAATCCCCTTAACTCTATGAGATAGGTACTATTATTATCCCAGCTTTACAAATGGGGAGATAGAGATGTTAAGGAACCCACCCAAGGACACACAGGTAATAAGCAGTAGAGCTGGGATTCAGTTTCGCTCCAGAGTTCA